TTCCCTGAGCTTAAACGTGGACCATTATTGTTTCAAGTTGTTTATGTTTATTTTTATTCTAATTAGATTAACATTTCAAAAGTATGAAATATACGAGTCTTTGTACAAGATGTGGATATTCAACATTGTTTAGAAAAAGCTGAAAATAATTTTCTCCACTATTGACCAGTGTCAAACTTGCAGACCAAATATCTTAGGTCTGCCTCTCAGCTCTGCTTCTGAAGCTCCTGTAAGAAAGAAGACACTGAGGTCAAGGAGATAGGCATAATGACAGACACCACCATCCAAAGAGCAGTTGCTTTATTATTCATTGAAGAGATCCAAAAAGGAAAATGTAAGGCCTTAAATAAGGTCTTTGTCTATAGATGAATCAGGAGATGTGCAGTAAGTGGCTAGATGAAGAAAACTTAGTCACAAATAGAAGAAATATGATCTTTGCAAAATCAAATATATGGTTAAAGCTGAGGAAATTCTGCTGAGAAAATGGTCTCTGAAGTTCAAGAAAGTTGTTATTCACTGCCTGTCCCCCCAAATCACATTGCATTCTATAATTACTGAAGAATAAGTGACTTAATATAGCCAGATTTACTTGACAGTGTATTTCTCACTCCTCTACCCCACCCAACCCCAAATGTGTTTGTGAATACAGTGAAGTAACTTTTGAGCTGGCTTCAGGAAAAATGAGCCATTTTGCCCATCCTACCCCACCACTTATCCACTCTTCCCATAGATAAATTATTTACCATCCATACCTTACTAAGGTATCACATTTTGAGGACATTTGAAGCATGGAGCAGATTCAGTATTTATATCCCATTATTTTTTTCAGCTCTACCAAAACATCAGAAATTTATCCTTATAAAAGCACTTACCACTTCCTAGGAAAATCTTTCTGCAACAGTCAAAATGTGTAATTCTTAACATAGTGGTTGTTACAGAAGTTACCTGGGCCTTCTGAAAGCACTGGGGATATAGATGGGATGAGGAGGGTGTCACTAAAATGCTAAAAATATAACTAAGATGAGAAAAGGGTTAGAGACAATTGTACTGAATTCTAAACTTTTTTTAAAAAGTAGATCTGTTTTGGGAAGAACAGGGGGGGACAGTGGAGGATGGGTTTTTTTCCTCTGCCAATGCACAAGAAAAATCAGATGGTTGTAACAACCTTTAAGACTAAAGATAAAACATTTCCTCTGTCACCTCATTTCCTTTTCTACAGATTATATACTCTAGCAAGTACAGGGCTTTAAGTCATTCAAATAAGCTTTTTGTCAAAATGTGATACCTTAGTAAGTAATGGGTGGTAAATAATTTATCTATGGGAAGAGTGGATAAGTGGTAGGGTAGGATGGAGGAAATGGCTCATTTTTCCATTGGAAGAAAACATGCACCTCTTCAGGGAGAGAAAAGGAGAGTAGAGCCTCATAGTATTCTTATCCATGGGTATGAGAACACTGACAAAGATACTTATGTATATCAGTTTGCCTAAAAGTGACTAAATATACATTGACTTCTGGAGGCAGAAAAGTTCTATGTAATTACAGAAACCATCTTTATTATTAAAGTGTGTATTATAAATTATAGACATAAATAAATTCCAAGTGCAACATTTTCACAGTGTCTTGGGAGTAAAACCAAAAAGATAAAATAAAAATGAAGTTGCACAAGAGTTCCACTTATGCACCTCTTCAGACCAAGGTAGCTTGATTTGTTGTTCCTATGGCAGATGGCTCTTTTCATTAAATTACAGGTTAATAAAATTAGCTGCTTAACTGAATGAAAATAAAAACATATAAAACATTTGAACAAAATAATGACAATAATGAGAATAATAATAACATGGAAGTCCCTCCATATTCAAATTCTGTCCTGTTGGAATAATTATGTATACTTCTTGGTATCAAAACTCAAATAATTTTATATGGAAAGTATGAACTTATTTATCTTGAATTATATATTACTGTAGTTAAGGGTGTTTACTTTTTGCACCCTGATTTTATTGAACCCAGAGAGTGATAAATGAGAGGTTTGAAGAAAAGATTCTTTAAGGAAAGGAGAAGCTCAGAGAGGAAGCTTCCATCTGAATAGCAGCTGCAGCAGTACTTCTCTCCTAGTTTAGAATTTCCCCCCTGAAAATTAGCTCCAGAGTTGGAAGGGGAAAAGTCAAAACAAAAGTAAGCAGATATCAGAGAAACTGATAGCCGATATATGTCTTAGAATGTAGCATCCTCATTGAGGTAAACCAAGTAGGTAATCACTTACTATATATAATCTGAAAAAACACTGTTGTAAAACCCACTTCTTCATAATACTTTCTTCTCCAGTCTGCTTCAGTGTCTTTAATTTCCTCCATTAAAAATTGGGGATTATAACTTTGAGTTAAGGTTTATTCCAAAAGCCTAAAATTTAGATATTCTTGGGCAAATTAATATTAAGATAACATTAATCATCATCACCTTAGTGTGAATAAATTGATCAGATTATTGATTTGAAGAACAAAGGAATAAGAGAAAAGACAAAACACTGATGGGAAGGAGGAGTAGATAAACAAAATCACAGCACTGCCTGGCCGGAGTGGCTCAGTGGTTGAGCATCGACCTATGATCAAAGAAATCATGGTTTGATTCCCAGTCAGGGCACATGCCTGGGTTGTGGGCTTGATTTCCAGTGGGGGGCATGCAGGAGGCAGTCGATTAATGACTCTCTCATCATTGATGTTTCTATCTCTCTATCTCCCTCTCCCTTCCTCTCTCTGAAGTCAATAAAGATATATTTTTAAAAAAATTTTTTTAAATCACAGCAATGAATACAAACATAGATGGACAGTCCTGGGGAGTAAGAGTGTTCCTAGCTAAGCAGCATAAGAATACTAGAATTTGTCTTCTCCTTGAATGATATAAATGATCCGTCAGAGCTTCTGGGCTGCCTAATAAGTGGACTCTAACCTTAACCATTTCTCTAGAAAGTTTAATAATCTCCTGGAAATATTTCCCCTCCCCTTTACAAAAGATATGTTCAAAGTAAGATTAATATGTTAATAAAATTAGAATACTGGTCTCAAAAAATGACAATAAGAAGTATAATTCATGCATATGTAGAAAATAATAAACATATTTAGTATAGAAAACACTCTTCCTTTACAAGTGCCCACAAATTTTTATATGTGATCCCATTGTAACACTAAATTATATACAAGCACAAATCATTTTATGGTATACAAACCAGAAATAGTTACAGTTACCCTTTTTAAAAAGACAATTTAACACTTATTTAACACATCAAAAAATGTACCATACAATTAATAATTAGGAGATAAATAGATACACTATTACTAGCAGCACAAAGTCAGTCTTCTAATTGAGTATTATTTTAATAACAAACAAAATTAACACTTGTCCAGAGAAAACATTAGAAAATTTTCCATTCATCTTAGATATTAGAATTCATTTTTATTCCACCAGTTTCCCTCCAAAACATATTAGTATCATAACTTTGTGCCTAAAACAACTCCTTTCCACATTCCTTCCAGATGAGAAGTAGCATGTATCTTCCTTATGTAGCATACATATTTTGAGTTAAGCATTTTTTTAAGTTAGATCTTTTTACTAGAACATGTTTTAAAGAATTGTAATATTTAGGCCTCAGGTTTAATTGCTATTCATATCCTGGGTCTAATTCCTGAATACTAGTACCAAACAGGTAGAAGGCAAGGCATTGTAAGAGGTGTACAATGGTGTCAAAATTAATCTTAGGCTTTAAAAAAAAAAAAAA